TTTTTTCTTTGCTTGCAGCAATACTGGAACAGAATTCGCTCCATATAAAATTGGCAAATCTGACATGCAGCAGAAAAGTTAACAAACAATCTTCCTTCTTGTTGCAGCTTAAAACTTATAACTTGTCGTGAACAAGTAAGGAAACATGGGAAACATTCATGTTACTTTATGAACCAACAGATATCAATGAGTGTGAAGTGAGGGACACGTGCCAGCATGAGTGTGTGAACACCCCAGGGAGCCACCGGTGTATCTGTCCTGCTGGTTACCACCTGATGACTAATGGGAAGACGTGTCAAGGTGAGGCTTGATCTCTAATCTCTCCAACAATGCAGCAGCCTCATTCTGCAGCTCATTTCAAAGCTATTTGTATGTTTTGATGCCAACCCAACAAAACCTTATGAGAAAACTGATCCTTTTGTGACGCGCTGTTTGCTAAATCCACAGATATAGACGAGTGCCTGGAGCAGAACATTCACTGTGGGGCAAATCGGATGTGCTTCAACACAAGAGGAAGTTACCAGTGCATCGACACACCCTGTCCTCCAAACTATCAGAGGGATCGAGAAACAGGGTAAACATTCACAGCAATGGTTTAAACCCATCGACTAACTGTAGAAGAATGTAAAAAATAGTTTTCATAAATGTCTGCTGGTGCCTATCTCCAGCTTTCAATGGGCGAGAGGCGGGGTCCGCCCTGGACAGGTCGACAGTCTATGACAGGGAAACACAGAGACAAACAGGAAAAACAACCATTCACACACAAGGAGACTTTAGAGAAGCCAAGCAACCTAACAGTCATGTTTTCAGACTGTGGGAGGAAGCCGGAGTACCCGGAGAGATCCCACACATGCACAGGGAGAACATGCAAACTCCATGCAGCAGACATGGGCAATGTGGAGTCAACAAGTCATCTCCATGTCATGTATTTGTTCTACCCAGCCACTGAAGCAGGTGAGTCCAATCTTCACAGTGAATTAACCTGTGCAGATTGGACTCACCTGGTTAATTGGCTGGGTAGATTAAATACATGACATGGAGATGACTTGTTGACTCCACATTGCCCATGTCTGCCATGCAGAAAGACCCAGGGTGGGGAATTGAAACTTTCTTGCTGCAAAGCAGCAGTGCTACCCACTGCACCACCGTGCAGATTGATAAATGGACAGTTCTTAACAAATCTGCCTGTGACTGAAGATACTTTATCATTGTTCAACAGTCTGATAAAGAGGGCTCTTAATGTTGTGTGTGATTACGCCTTGTTAGAGAACATTACTGAACAAGAAGCATCACAATGATGAAGGATTGCTAGCCTCGTGAGACCATCCTGATCTCGCGAGCTTTCAAGATTTCACTCGCTAATCAGTCTGGAGACTCTCCGTTAAAGAAAATT